CTGGGTGCTATGTACTGTGCGAAATCAATCAATCTTGCAAGAATAAATTTTTGGACATCCCTCTTCTAAGAATTCCAATTGAGTGTGTTAGTGTGGCCAGCTCAGGGCAATATGATATTATAAACACAGCACATATCACCTCTCTGCTGTTTATAACTTCATAGCAAAGAAAACACGCCATTCATAACAGTAGATCACAAGAGCAACAGGAACTTTGCTGCAAGACAGGCATATGTAACGATGACTTAGCGCAGATAAAGTCGTGGCTTATTATACTCTGTTCTACTGAAAACAGGCCAGCGAAAAATCTAACAATCTACAGCAAAACCATCAATTATTATGGGCATTATAACATAGGTGTGCAGCTGGACGAAACATAGACGTCGAACCCCCCCAGACGATTTAACTGCTGTATCTACTATGATATACAATTTTTGTATAATAAACTTTTTACTGGATCAGCAACTGACTTCCCTGCCAGATCAGATAGGAACAGTTTTTGTTGTGATAGGCCTTAGTAGTCTGTCAGAAGCAGGTGAGAATTATTTTAAAAGGATTAGTGTGGCTTTCTAATTTTTTGTTTTCCTCACTGGTTGGAAGGTCAGTTTAACACTTCTGGTTCAGGACTATTTAAATATTTAACCCCCTATACCAGAGGGTTTTAAATTATGTTAAAAGTAACATTTACATTTTTTTGTATAAAAACATTTGGATGCAAAAAATGCAAACTTTCCTAATTTATACATTGTAAACACAGTCCTTAGTCAGACAAACTAGCCTCACTTGACAGACTACGCCCAGTAATTCATATTGTGACATAATGGGTGAAAGTCAAAATAGCGGAGTGAGATCAGGCAGCCGTTGCTGGGCAACGTCCTGTAATCGTGCGGGCTTTTGGTACACAATGGCTGGTAAACACCTGACACAGTTTTCATTTCATGCATCCTGTTGTGTTATAATATACAACTTCTCTATTAAAACTGTCACAACACAACTATATCGAGGTCAGTGCCTAGTTTTGACTCTGCTACATGTTTCAGCTATTAATAGCCATGATCAGGCAAATACATGGCTAACATATATACACCACCGAACTGCAGTACTAGTAAAATTGGATACAGCAATATTAATTGTATAAAATACAATAAATTAGATTATATAAAACAAAAGCTATAATATAAAACAAGAATAAAATTCTCTGATTGATGCTTTACATCATTGAGTCAGTCTTAGGTTTTTGTAATTTTGTTGTGTTCCCATGGACAAATTGGAGTATTCTATATTTTGTGTGTATATAAAAAACTGTTATTGGAGGAGGCTTGTGATGTAGATTTAGTAATATTAATGTTAATTACAAGGTGGTTCAAATATGACCGGGACTGATTTTTTTTTTTAACCAAAATTGCCAAACACTTACTTACGCATGTCAGTCTTCAACGTACTCTCCTCCGGAGGAAACACATTTTTTCCAACGTTCTGGAAGCATCCTGATGCCCTTTTCAAAAAAGTCTTGTGGTTGGCAGTGTACCCATTCCTGAACATTCTCGATGACAGCGTCATTGTCCACAAACCGCATGCCTTGCAAGTCTGATTTGAGCCTTCCAAACAGGTAGAAATCACTTGGTGCAAAATCGGGACTGTACGGCAGATGTGTCAGAAGGTTCCATTTCAATTTCCGTAGGGTTTCCATTGTTGTTTTGGTCTATGGGGGCGTGCATTGTCTTGAAGGAAGGCTACCCACTTTCCACCTCTCTTCCGCTTGGATCGGATCTTTTCCTTCACGTCTGTTGCCAGGGGGTCTGAGTAATAAGCAGCATTGACTGTTCTGGCATCTGTCAGAAAGTCTACATGGATAACCCCCTGCCAGTCCCAGAAGAACATCGCCATCACTTTTCCTGCCGAACGGCTTCTCCGCGCCCTCTTGGGTTTGGGAGAACTGGTATGCCGCCACTCGCGTGATGATTGCTGGGACTCGGGAATGAAGTAGTGCATCCACGTTTCATCGGTGGTCACTATAGACTTCAAAAATGCATCACCTTCATCTTCAAACTGCTGTAGGAGGCAACTGGCAACTTGCTTGCCCACCATTTTGTTCACGTCCGTCAAAGTGCATGGTACCCACCGTGCATTCACCTTGCAATAGTGCAGGCGGTATTTCACGATGTCTTCTACACTACCAACACTGATGGACAGCATTGCTCCAAGTTCCTTGATAGTGATGCGCCTACTCTCACGAATAAGTGCGTCTGCACGATCAGTGTTTGGCTTGGTGACGGATGTTCGCGGCTGATGATCATGCGGTTTATTCTCCGCGCGCTCTCTGCCTTCTCTGAAGCACACCACTCAAACACACGGGTCTGTGAGAGACACTCTTCCCCATACTGTTGTTGGAGTATGTGGTGAATTTCAGCGGAGGGATGTTTTCTCCAACGAGGAATTTGATCACAATGCGTTGTTCGACGCTCCACTGTACCTTCTGTACGCTCATCCCTCTAGCAACTTCCAGACAGCACTGAACAGATTCTAACCCTAACAGGAGGGAGAGTGGAGGTTGTGGCTACAATCTCTCAAGGTCGCACAGCTGCTGTGCAGTGTGGCTTGTTTACAAAAAAATCAGTCATGGTCATATTTGAACCACCTAGTATTTAGTCGGTGCCTCATTTTACAAAGTATTGTCCATTTTGTAAGGAATGTAAATTCGAATTTATTGTGTTTTTACATCAAGTATTTTATATAATTAATATCATTGTATCCAATTTTACTAGTACTGCAGTTCAGTGGTGTATATGTATTAGCCATGTATTTGCCTGATGATGGCTATTAATAGCCGAAACATGTAGCAGAGCCAGAACTAGGCACTGACCTCGATATATGTAGCACATCCACAAAGTAAGTTTCCCGCTCATCCCACAGCTAGCAAACCTTATATTGCACGAAGTGACTGCATGTACATGATAGAGCAATGACATATCATGGCGCATGCACTAACAGAATTTCCCGCATTCTCACAGTAGCATTGTTGCAGCTGTTGAAGATGGAGCCTCTTATTCCAGCTCCCGCCAACTGTGAAGTGCGGTCAGTGATAAAGTTTTTGAATGCACAGAGCATAGCTCCGATCAAAATTCATCATCAGCTGTGCTGGTGCAGATAGTATTCAGCAGGTCGACAAAGCGTGCACGATGAGAAGCGCAGTGGGCGGCTGTCCATCATTACAGATGACCTGGTGGAGCTTGTGCGGGAATGCATTATGGAGAATCATCACATCACAATTACGGAACTCAGCAGTCATGTCCCCCAGATTTCCCGCTCCTTGTTGCACGAAATTGTCATGGAGCACCTGTTGTTCAGGAAATTGTGCGCCAGGCGGGTGCCGAAGCAGCTGACACCAGAATACAAAACAGAGCACATGGAGTCAGCATTGACATTTCTGCGGTGGTACCATCATGACGGCGACGAGTTTCTGGACTGGATCATCACAGGTGATGAAACGTGGATTGCACACATTACCCCAGAAACCAAGCAGCAGTCAATGCATTGGCGTCACAGTGGATCTCCGTGTAAGATGAAATTCAAGCAGACATCGGCATGGAAAGTGATGTGCACGGTATTCCGGGACAGACAGGGCATTCTCCACGTCGACTTCCTGACCAGAGGTGAGACGGTGAATGCTGAGCGTTACTGTGAAACACTGCAGAAATTGCGATGGGCCATTCAGAACAAGCGGCGCGGGATGCTTAGTGCCGGTATCGACTTCCTGCACGATAACACTAGGCCGCACACAGCTCGACGGACAACAAGTCTCCTGCAGGAGTTCAGCTGGGAGGTGTTTAATCATCCACCCTACAGCCCAGACCTTGCTCCCAGTGATTTCCATCTTTTCCTACACCTCAAGAAATTCCTGTCCATTGAGCATCAGCATTTTGAGAATGACAGAGAGGCGGAGATGGTTGTCACACAGTGGTTCCAATCCCAGGCGGCACACTTCTACGACACAGGTATTCAAAAGTTGGTTCCAAGGTATGATAAATGTCTCAATTCCGGTGGTGATTATGTTGAAAAATAGCTGAACACTTACTGTATCTGTTGCAATAAATATTTCCATTAAATTATTTTTTGTTTCTGTAAACGGCCCCAGGGAAACTTACTTTGTGGACGAGCCTCGTAGTTGTGTTGTGACAGTTTTAATAAAGAAGTTGTAAAACTGGCACAGTGTTTTCTATGCGGTCCATGCCGTTTTTCTGTGAAGTATGTCCCGAGGCAATGTAACAAGGACCAATGAGGTCATATTGCAAACTTCTGCACAGAAAGGGGTGAACCAAAGGCACCATCTGCAATTCATGGTACCTTAGGGCCCATATTTTATCCAGTTGATAAAGCCACCATAATTTCTGACAGCTTAGAAAACGAGTTCAGAATGTGTGACATGTGAATGTGGCCATAGGAGACATGTGGAGACTCAAATCGAAGCCCTTCTGGCTACCAATGATGAAGACATCCCTGTTAATTTCTGACCCTGTGACATCGGAAAAGAAATACAATCCTTGAAATTAGGAAAGCGCTTTGATTTTGATGGTGTTCAAGATGAATATCTCTGCCATCTTCCAAGAAAACCTCTTATTCATTTACCATATTTATTAAATCACTGCCTTGCCTTTGTCACTTCCTGGCAGCTTGGAAAAAGGCAAAAATCATAACTCTCCTAAAACCTGCAAAGTTCCAAAATTTATGTCCAATCAGCCTCTTGTCCACTACAGGCAAACTATTTGAGAAGCAGAGTTTGAGAAGAATCCGAAAACACACTGAGGAAAGAAACTGAATATATGCAAGTCAGTTTGGCGGTTGATCAGATCATATTATGGCACTTCAATGTATGAGGCTGGCCAAGGCCTTGAATATATATGTAAGGACCTATTCTCTATTGAAAAATGGGTGTTTAAGTACAAATATTACACTTGGGATTTACAGAGGTCTGATTGGTCAGTTAATGACTTATGCCTGTCCCACCTGGGAGTATTCGGTGGATGTTCACTGACAACTTGCATGCCGGTTCTGCAGGAGTACGAGCCATTTTCAAAAGTTCTGTCTCAACGAGACTGGGAGAAGAAATGGAGCCAGCACAGTGTATAGCTGCTGCTTATGAAGGTGATCACATACATCACAGGCCCATCCACTCAGAATACAAGGAATGGCATGCATGAGCAGCAGAGTGAGAGGAGGCAGCTGTTGGTAGGCATCATCTGTTAAACATGAGGGTCATTGCTACGCAACAGCTGGTAAACAATGACTATGATGTGATGTTTTCTGTACAGTCTCCAGAGGCTGTATAATGAGGACCAAAGGGACAAGCCAGTGCGCTGTAATTATGAGTCAGTTGTTACATGAGCATAAAAGCAGAAGGCTCTCCAATGTTTGTAGCTGTTACCAATCTACAACTAGTGAAGACTATAAAAAACTGAGACTTAGTGTGTGCTGTAGTGATTTATAAAGCATGTGTATTAGTGAAAGATTTATGATTATTGTAGTTACAAGTTATAAGAGTTCAGTAAATTCAATTAGCAATCAAAATCCTGTTTATAGTTACTAACACATGACAGTATTTTGAAATGGTAATTTTAAACGCACTCCCTAAACAGTCTCTTCTTTTTAGCTTTCCCTTTTCTTTGCTTGCCAGTGTTTGCACACACTTTGCAGGTTCGGTGAGATTGTTCTTTCAGTTTTATCTCTGTTGCCAGAATTCTGTATGGAAAATTATCTCTTCCAGTACGTTTTCCTGCAGAAGTACCAGTCCGTTCAAAATGTCGTGCCCTGCCTTCAGCAGCCATCTCATAGATCTCTAGTGGGAAGACAGAAACAGATCCAATTTCCGAAACATCGTGTCCTCTGTTACCTAGAATTCCGAACGATGGAAAAAGTCCAAAACCCCAGTAATTCTGGGATGTTTTTTATTGTGCAGTATGTGGGCATTTATGATATACAGATCAGATAGAGGGAAGAAAATATTCTTCTACACTTTTCCAATTTTCTCTAGAAAGAGTAACATATTAACATTTTATTGGGCTTGTCAATGCTAATTTTGTGTTATTGTAGTCCATAACTTCTTACAGGTTTTGTTTTCTGGTGCTGTCCTCTGGGTGATGGTGCCTCAACCATCTCATTTCTATGGGAATTACTCAAAATGTGAATTTCTATGGTGTCTTTCATTGTATAGCCAAGAGGTGATATGTCTTGCAACAAACAGTTTCTCCCTTACCTTCAGTTGTTTTTTTTAATGGCTGTTTATGCAAATTTTTTTGTTGGACATTATTTGCCCACAGCTGTTGCCTTAAGTATCCATTGTTGATCAGAGAGTTTTGAGCTAGAAAACCACAGATTCATATGCACAGTATGACCCTCATTCTTTATTTGCTGGCTGAGCCTGTCAATAACACTTAATGTTGTGTTGTGAACAATGTCACTACATTTTGTGCCATTCTGCATATTTCTCATTGTTGTGTACATAGCCACTTCTTGCTTCACACAGCTGAAAATCTTGATTCCATACTCATGTGGCTTCCCATACATTTACAGTTGCAAAAATACTTCCCCTTGAAATGCACAGATTGTCTCATCAGTAGTAAGTTATTTCTCTGGCATGTATACTTCTTGAAATTTTGAAGTCAGGCTGTGTAATGACCCAGTTGTCCCCTGGGTACTTGTTTGCAAGTGTTACTGATATGCAGCATTGCCAAAAATTGCAAAGAATCTATCATGAGACATACCACTTTATGTTGCAAAGTTGGTTTGCATTATTGGTCATGTGCACCGATAATTGTGGGCAGATAGCGTATGATGCAGTGCAAATATGTGCTGCACATAACACTTTAATTTCTTATAATGTGATAAGTTTCCACTTTGCAAATACTGAATTCTTTTCAGAGGATCATCTTACTCCTCATTTTTTGCATACAAGTGGATTTCATCTTGCATAATTTTGAAACTTACATTTGTCCCTTGCAAGCCAGATAATGCATGTACATTGTTTGCTGTGTTATCACATTGTAAGTCACATTCGGAGCTTGGTTGTTTAGGTTTTGCTCTCACTGTCCTTCCGTGGCCCATGCTTTCATCTGGTCAAGGGAAAATTTCCTCTTCACTGCTACTGCTACCACTAAAAGAAAAGTTATCTGAGACATTCTGAGTGTCAGAAATTTCAATAAATATTCCTAAATATTGGTAGTGTTTCATTTTGTATTTTGTCCATTGCAAAAGATGTTTTTGTTCTGAAGAATAACCCAGAATAGTAGTATGCTGTTGACTGTTGATCTTGCTTGGGCCCCACTATGAACTGCTCTGAGTGAGATGAAGTTACGAGTATATTGATTCTCTGAATTACTTATAAACACTTTGTCTTGTAATAGGAAGCAGACCATTCTTTGTGTCTTGGCCTTGGCAGCATTATTAAGGCAATATAAACAGTTCCTTGCTTATAAAAGAAAACTCAACATGCATGGTTTACAGTGAAGGTAGTTTCAAGGTGGCGGAGCCTTGTTCTATGATGAGGTGATGAAACTTGCTGACACTCGCTAGAAGTAGGTAGATGCTTGGAGCTCTTGCTCAGTGAAAAGTCTGATAATTCAGGTTGTATTTCCTGTGAATTTTTTCATGTTGGGTTAGTAGTAATATTGTCAGTGTTGCCTTGGCAAGATAAGCAAGGTGGCTGTAGTGGAGAGCAGGTCAAGAGTTGTTTGGTGTGACTTTCAGCACTGATGTGAGATTTAGCTTCAGAGTTTGGATGTAAAGGTAACTAAATGAATGAACAGGTAGGTGCAGAAAATGTATAAAATGGGGAAGAGAAAGTGTACTTAAAATGGGTTTAATGGTGAAGTAAATGTCCTGGAAGTGTAATGGTTTTCATTATGTAGGCCAAAGAACGTGAAGAAAGTCATCTTTGTAATGTCCACTTTTCTACTTTCAGTATTAAAAGCAGGGAACAAAATTTGGACATACATGATTACATGTGGTATTGTTGTCATGTGTTAGTAATGATACTCAAGGTTTGGATTGATATTTGGATTCTCTGAAAATCTGTAACTCATGACTATAAGTAATTATGTTATTGCTAACCTACAGGCTTCACAGTTCACTATAGCATACCCAAATTCTTTTAGTTTCTCTTGGCTAGTGGATGCATAAATTGTTACTGATGAAATCAGTGCTTTATTTAGGGTTACTTTCTTAGTGCTTAAACATCCTTTTTGAACAAGGAGTAGATTATAATAAATGTTCTGAAGGCCTTGGCTTCAGTCATTTCTATGTGCAGTCTCCTTATAATCCTTTTAATCGAAGGTTACACCCAGATATTTTACATGAGTGATAAAGAAGGGGATATTCTGTCAGTTCAATGTAAGATGAGCTGCAGGGGGCCTAAGTCTGTGAGAAAAGTAGATGGCGTGAGCCTTATCATCACTGATTTTTATGTTCCAGTGCTCACAATACATCTTACTAGCAATTGAGGCCTTGCAGCAACAGCTTTCTCAGAACATAATCATAATTGTGGTCTGTTGCGTTTGCACAGGTGTCATCTGCCTGGAGCCCTAGATAGACACCAGCTGTTTGTTGGGTACAGAACAGAACCTAATGGCACCCCAGCTTTTATATCCCCTGGCGCAGACATTTCACCTTTGGCTGAGACTGCATTTCCTCTGAGAAAGAAAAGAGGTAATAATCTTGATGTAGGGCACCCATTCTGATGAGGAGACAGGTCTGTTGTTTACAATTGCTGCTGGCCCACTCCAGTGCAGTCATTCTCATGTCCCTAGTCCTGTGGGACTCATGACCATATTTTATTACCACAGGTTGGACACTCCTCCTACTTGGAGGGCTAGGTCCGTGTATTTATATCCTCCAGGTACAAGGTGGCCCAGTTGTCCCCCTAAGCACTGGATTCCCTTTTCAGCGCTTCCTATATCCCACAGAGATACAGTGGAAGCATTCAAACCCACCTGCACACTGGGACAGATGTAACAGGGTCATAGCCCTTATGTAGTATCCTCTCTGATGAGAGGATGGGTCTGCCGTTTAAAATTGCTGCTGGCCCTCAGCAGCACAGTCATTCTCAAGTCCAAGTCCTGCAGGAGTCATGACCACATTCTGCTGTCTCAGATTCAAGAATCCCGAACCTGAAAGGCCAGGTCTCTGTATATATATCCATATAGAAAACACCTCGTTGCCTAGTAGTGGCTCAACAATTCATCTATTCTTGCATATTTATTTGTTGCCATGGAGAGGTGTGTTCCATGCTGTTGCCTTGCAGCGGCTGACATTAAAACTAATGAGTGTGTCTGGAGATTGAAAGTTTACAGACTTCAACAACTGTATGAATTGGCCTGAATTATTTACAGAGGATTCCAATTTCCCAGCAAGAGGACTGAGTATCTTACAGAAAAAAACCAGCCAGGGCATAGCAAGGGGAACCAGTAGAACTCACTGTAGGCCTCAGAGGAATGTCAGGTTTGTGAATCATGGGAAAACCATATAAATATGGAAGTTTGCTGTGATATGACGTTAACTTATATTTTAGATCAGTTGGAAGGGGAGTTTTGTGTTTGGAAAGGCATTTCTATACTTTCTTCTCAACCTCAGCTGTAGGATCTTTGGGCAAGGGTTCATTAACCTCAGACTCTGGCAAAGTGTTTAAGTAATCCTTATATTTGCATTCATCCAACACCACAATGCAATTTCAATTCTCTGCCTGAAGAATCCTAATATCTTTGTTAAGTGTTAAAGATTTCACAGCTTGCAACTGCCTTACTTCTCTAGCATGGACCTGAGCTTCCACCTGAATTCATGCCCAGACTCTGTGAAAGTTTTGAAATAATGCACTCCATAGCACATGCTGTGGCTGGGTTGGAGTGTTTCTGTTGTTCAGCTTTTACTTCACAGAGGCACTAGCAGTAGGCACAAAGTGGTTTCAGAACATTCTCCTATTAATAATATGCATTGGTTTTCATGGACTTGACTTATTGGTTAGGTTTGTTGCATAAAATTTTTGTTTTACATTTCTCCTGTTTTCTCCCCTTGATGTAACCTGGTCTAAGGAATTTATATAGCTGTAGTTACACTGACAGGCTGCCCAGTGATTGAGCTCTTTCTAAAGCACCCAACAGAGTGGGTGTCTCCTCAGGTGGGGGACTTGAAGGCAGAAACAGATCCAGTTTCCGAAATGTTGTGTTCTTTAGTTTTTTAGAATACCATATGATGGACAAAGTCCAAAACCCCACTAATTCTGAGTGTTAACACTCCATTGTCAGAACCATTTAGAATCTACATTTTCAAAATAGTGTTAAAAATCAAAATTGTTTTAAACAGTTTTGAAGAAATCATCAGTTTTTCAAGAACTTTCCCATTTTTATACTTCTTATTTGTACAGAATTTCTTTTTTATATAAAACATTTTGAAAGTTTTTGTTTTTAAAATTATTTCAAGAAATTTTTAGTATTCATAAGTTATTTATAAAAATTGTGTTTGTTTTGAAATTTCATGTCATGTTTAATTTTGAATATTATATTGGATTCTTTTGTTTTTTCATATTGATAAACTTTCCATAATTACTAATGCTTTTAATCACGCTGTAGTCTTGCCCAAACTCTGTACTTCTTCTTTTACCATTACAAAATGGCCCTAAATTCAGAGTGTCTCGTACTTTCTTCCAGAACCTGTATGATGAGTTGGATATGCCAGAACATTGGTACCATCTAGTTTTGAATATTTATTTTATGAAATATGCAGTGTAATTCTATACCTTAGCAAACTTCAGAGGTGTGTGTGTATGTATATGGGTATATATGTATATTATCCAGCTGAAAAATGCTGTTTTACACAGTACAGAATAGGCTGGTGCATAATGTATCAGGTTGCTTCACAGTAGCTCTTCAGTGATTGACTGGAGCAAAATTTGAGAGAAATTGTAAAGTGTGCATGCTGTTGTTTTTTTTTTGTATCCCACCAGAAGTAAATATTTTCACTGAGTTGAAGGAAGGAGAATCTGTCTCGTATGGTTGAGCGGCTCATTCACAAAAGCTCATTGATGATCGCGCTATCTTTGTTCAGTCCTGACATAAAACATATGAAGGTTTCAATTTTTCTTCTTACTTCAGCACTGGAAACTGTATACCATTCCCACTTCATTTTACAAATTTGAAGCAAATAATCTTATGGGCAGTGTATAATAGTGCATTTCATTCAAGATAAAGCCAGAAATCCCTTCTGATTAAACCTCTGTCTTGGCCTTGAAATTTCTCATAATATTACACCGTTCAGTTGGTAATCCATTCATTCTTTCCAGGTATTATGTCTATAACTGGTGTTTCTTATAATTAATACATATATATTTTTATCCTTGTCTTTTTTCCTGATCATATCTCTCATTGCTGTATTCAGTCCTGTTATCACTGCTACAACATTTTAGTTTGCAAACGTACTTACTTGTAACAGTTTTATTACCCTATCTACTAAGATACAAGCCAGTATGACTTGTTAAAATTCTCTAGTTTGTCTTCATTGTTCAGAATAAGTTAATTTAATTCAAATTGAATTGTGTAAAGTAATGAAATATAGGTACAGATCTCAGTTCTGTTAGATAAATTGTCTGAAATCCAGTGGCAGAAATATATTAGTGATCAGGTTAGTGCTTAGGATGTGAAACAAGGGACACATTTGTAAATGTAGTGCAGTTGTTGCATAGTGGATAGTACTGTTTGTAATAAATTTTACAGAATAGGAAACTGAATTTCATACTGAAAATTCTTTACTTACTACTTACCTACCTTAATATTATTTATAGCTTAAGTTATGTATTGTATATTTGCATGCTTGTGGGTTGAACTTTGTTCCATTGAAGTAAAATAATTGTCACATTTGTAACAAATTTATGTGTAAGCACCATAATGTATTGACAGAATCACTTCCAAATGAAAATACATCAGTATATTTCTTAGAATTATAACGTTTTAATTAAAAATTAACCATGACCTATGTCCCTGTCATGAGTATAAAAATCCTCAGGTGATGTGTAAGACCTTTGCTGTCTGCTTACATATAAATTCTTAGTTTCATGAACAGTATAAGCTGGTATGTGGTAGTGTAGTTGGTTGAGGCATTATGCTACAAGCTGGAAGGTAGTGGGTTCGATTCTTGATGAAGTCATTGCATTTTTCAATTGACCTAATCCTTCCAGCCAAACTATGACCCTGGGGTCAACTCAGCCTCTAACAGAAATGAGTATCAGGAGTCTTCCTGTGTGTGAAGTGTGGCTGGCACATAAGGCTGACAACTTCACCGCCATCTGTTAGCCAATTTTCTAGAAATTGTGGGAGCCTCAGTGTCTCACAATCCTATGGTCTTCCAAAGCCTGTTACAGGAATAGCTATACCTTTATTACCTTTATTAGGTATTCTGTCCCAAGTACACACAGTGAACTCTGAATTGTTGATGTGTGGCTTATGGATTATCTGTGTTATTTTATGCATATGTCTGCAAATATGTTCATTATATTAAAAGAGCAGAGTGAAAGTTCCAGATCATATTAAACTGTTATTTCCTTTATTTATATTTTTCTTTTATAAAATGCACTTAAAAGAATCCATATTAATATGCAGTCAGATCTGTAACCAGTTCCATTTTTACCATAGCTGCCTCGGTATTTAAATTTTGGATGCCATCATTGATATGTATTACTGAGTTGCTTAAATGAGCAGGGAATTTTTAATTTAACTGTTTTCATAAAGTTTCAGTTAGTAAATTTGAAGTTTGACACCAATCCTTTACACCTTAGACCCACCCCACTGGGTTAATTGGGTAAGGTTCTTTATAATGAAATAATTAATTGAGGTGGTTGGGTGCCAGGAAGCTGGTTGCTTACAAATAAAATTTAGACTAGGAGGATGAAATTATAAATAGGCATGTAGCTCAACTGAAGAATTCGATGCTTCTCAGGTGTGGTGCTGACTGAAACTCCAACACATGGAATCAAATAATTTAAATTATTCACCAATTATAGGTCTTGCACGTGTGTATGTGTATATATATATATATATATATCCATAATTGCTCATGATCATGGACACAGAGTTAACTGTGTTAAAAGAGTTGGTGCAGGGGATGCAATGTATTCTGCTAATAATTGCTTAGGAGGGAAATATTATTATTTTAGTAAAATTCAAGTACCAGCCCACTTGTTTTAATTTGAAGCAGTTGTAATTCAAATTTAATGCAATACTGAACTTTCACATTTCATAAAATGTTGGTAAATTCTTGGGTAGCTGAATGACTGGTGGTTTCTCAAGAAGGACTCAGCTCCATGGAGTTTGTTTATTTACTTACTTATAGAGCTGAGCCCTTCTTGAGGAGAAGCCAAATCTGCAGCTACTCGAGAATTTCCCAGCATTTTATGGAACCCAAAGGTTCATTACCATGTTCACAAGAGCCCTCCACTGGTCCCTAGCCTGAACCAGATCAGTCCAATCCATACCATCCCCTCCCATCTCTCTAAAGATCCATTTTAATATTGTCCACCCACCTACGAGTTTGTTTAGTTAGTGATTATTATTTGAATAGAACATAACACACACAACAATCTGAAAGAGTGTTTGACTACTGAACATTTCTCTTCACCCTGTTTTAGCAAAACAATGAGATGTAGCAGATTTCTTCACATTCTCAGATTTTTGCAGTTTTAAAACAGTGACACCCCTCTTGACAGTAATAACCCAAACTATGACAGACTATGGAAACTTAGGCATATTTTCAGTTTTGTGAAAGTAATATTACAAATATTATGCCCTTCTGACAATCAGGTTATGTACAGAGTTATACAAATTTCCAATTGAAGGATAATTTTTAGAAAATGTGGCACAATTCAGATATTTGTGAATGATGATAACAGATCAAAACCTGATTCAGGAGGAAATTAAGTGGAGATTGAACTTGGGTAATGCTTGCTACCATTCAGTCCAGAACCTTTTGTCTTCTTGTCTGCTCTCCAAAAATGTAAAAATTATAATATGCAAAACTATAATGTTGCCTGTGGTTCTGTATGGGTGTGAAACTTGGTTTCTGACATTAAGGGAGGAACATTGACTGAGGGTGTTTGAGAACAGGGTGTTGAGGAGAATATTTGGACCGAAGAGGGATGAGGTGACAGGAGGTTGGAGAAAACTGCGTAAAGAGGAGGTTCATAACTTGTACTCTTCTCCAAGTATAATTAGAATGATCAAGTCAAGGAGGATGAGGTTGGAAGGGCATGTAGCACGAATGTGGGAGAAGAGGAATGCATGTAGGATATTGGTGGGAAAGCCAGATGGACTGAGACCACTGGGGAGACCAAGGCGTAGGTGGGTGGACAATATTAAAATGGATCTTAGAGAGATAGGATGGGATGGTATGGATTGGATTGATCTGGCTAAGGATAGGGACCAGTGAACATGGTAATGAACCTTCAGGTTCCATAAAATGCTGGGAAATTCTTGAGTAGCTGCAGATTTGGCTTCTCCTCGAGAAGAGCTCAGCTCCATAAATAAGTAAGTAGGTAAGGATAATTTTAGACATTACATACCATACGCAAGATGTTACAGAGTCAGAATTTATAAGATGTGTTACATGCATGGCTGTACATATGAATGGACATTTCTTAGGAAAGGACAGGACACATGTGGCTGCAGATATGACAGCAACACACACAGCTGCAAAACAACTAACAAGAAAGGTGGGCCATGTATGTGAGCTGTATATGGACAACTTTCTTTCGTTAGAGGATTTATTCACTGGTCTAACAAATACAATTCAGCTGTTGTGGTACAGTCAGATGTAGCAGAAAGGAATGCCTCAGAGCACTGCTTGCTGTCCATTTGTTGCTGGTTTCTCACTGCACTTAAACTTTTGACCCTGAAGACTGAGGCAATATGTTCCTCTGAAACATCAGTGGGTATTGGAGGATCTTACATCTCAGAAGACTACCCCTCATAGGCCGCCCTTCCTGCCTGCTTGCTAATTTCTTCCTTGGCTCGCTCTTCGACCATGAAGATTGAGGCAGTATGTTCCTCCAAAACATCAGTGAACTTTTGCTGTACCATATGGCATTATTTACCAGAAGGTAGTACTCTTCATAGGCTCTGTTTGCTGCCTGCTTCTTGCTGGATTCTAGCTTGACTTACTTTTCAACCCTGAAGATGGAGGCAGTATGTTCCAGTGAAATGTTGATGGACTTGTACTGGACTACA